TTTTTGTTTGTTTGTTTTTCTATACATTTCTTAATACATATGTACCTAGATATTTTACTTATGGGGGGACCCCAAAATTGGAATTTACTTATTAAAATTGTGTATTTATTCTTATGTGTCTAAACTTCAGTTACCTTCAAAGTACTATCCATTTGATGCAATACACCTATTGAGAAGTTTTTCCACTGATCAGGACAGTTTTTGAACTCATTGATTTTCATGCCTTTTAGTGTTTGTGCCATTTTTTGTTTCACCTCTTTCACATTGGCAAAACATTTCCCTTTGAGGATATTTTTCATCCAGGGAAACAAACAAAAGTCTCTTGGGGCAAGGTGGGGTCAGAGAGAGTGGGGCACCAGGGGTCATGCCATTTTGGTTAAAAACTGCTGACCACTCAGTGGGGTATGGGCAGTGGGCAGGTATACTTGTAATTCACTCATCATGAAATGGGCAAACATGTTGAAAGACAAATACCATATGATCTCACCTATAGGTGGAATCTAAAGAACAAAATAGAACCACAGGCATGGAGACATGGAACAGACTGACAGTGACCAAAGGGGGTGAGGGAAGTGGAATAATGGTGGAAAGAAGGGGAAGGGACTAGTTAAAAAGCATGTAGGAATGATCCATGGACATGGACAACAGTGTGGGAATTGACTGTGGGCGTGGGGGTCATGGGATGAGTGAAGGAGGGCAAAGGGGAAAAAGTGAGGACAACTATAGTAGAATAACAACAACAACAAAAAAAGAGCCTTCAAAAAAAAGTAACTGAAGCTGAATGCAGCCTCTCACAACAGCCAGCTGGCTCACTGATACAGCTGGATTCTTAGAACACTCACCTAGTGGGAGAAGCCCACCCTCCAGAAGATAATTTCGGGTTTACTTTGGGGGGTCCCCCCTTGTATATATTTACTACTAAAAAGTAAATCTGTATTAAATTTTGTTATTTGTTTATAACAGATAGAAATTGGCAAGCCATAGGGCAAATTTAGTTTGTTGCTATGTTCTAGTTGACTTTGGAAGCAACCCAAGTGCCCACCAGTTAATAAGTGGCTCAAAAAAATACAGTACCTTTACACAAAGGAATGCTATGCAGCAGAAAGAAAGGAGCTCCTACCCTTCCAGACAGCATGGATGGAACTGGAGGGCTTTCGCAATTTCAAAAAATATTTTTCTAAGATTTAAAAATTAGGTGATTCTACATGGGAACTGCATTTATTTCCTCTCTTGAAAACTTGGAAAGATAGACAATATAAAATGCCTATTTTTGCATCACAATAACTTAGACAAAGCAGGTATTAATTAAGCTTGCCACAGTTGTCCATCTGGTCTGCTCTACTTACTTGTGTAATCTATTGGACCCCTTGGTGTTTGAGAAGCTACTATTTAATATTCATGGTTCCTGCAATGTATAAATAAAGTTATTTTTGTATAAAGCATATAACATTATACTTTGTATAACGTTACCTTAATTTTTTTCTGGTAAATCTCCAGTTGATTACTGGGGTTTATCAGGCTAACAATGATATAATCTATGAATATTTATAATTTTGCTTCTTTTAATTTGTTTTGATTTGGTAGTCAGAATTAAAAATAGTTTTTAAAAGGAAAAAATCATGAGTTTATGTTTATACTTCCAATGTGAAACTTGGATTGTAGCATTCTTAACATTTTTAATTTTATAGCTGACTTAAGTTTTGTTATGCAAGAAAGTTTTATTTCTAAATGTACTAATAATTACACATTTGGTTTATCCTATACCATACACATATTATTTTAAAATAAATGGTAGTAATGTAACTATGGAAAATACCAAGTACAGGTTAAAATATCTTTATAGTTCTTTTTGTTCTTGTATCACTACATGGATGTATCATTAAAACACAGATTAGAGTCACTTAATATAATTATTCTATATGTGTGGTTATTAACCTGATGGACAGTTAAACTTGTTTTAGCTTGTTTTCAATTTGAGAGAATTCCTTTTTTATAAATAATTATTTAATTATGTGAATAATTTTCACGATTCCAGTTAAAACTCTATACCAAGATACATTCACTAAAGTTTCACTTCCATCTTGACTTTTCCACACTGTTCTTTTCTCTCAGAAAAGAGAGAAAAGAAGCAGCTAGCCATTTGAGTTAAATTAATGAATAATAAAGTTAAATAAATTAACTTTAGATTTTATTTTTAACTAAGATGACATGTATATATAAATTTATATTTACAGGTCTGTGTATATGTATGTGTGTATATATATCTACTAGTAATACCATTTTTAAGGTGTCTCAGGACCACAAATTCTTTTTTTTTCTTTTTTTTTCAAGATTTTATTTTTATTTATTTTTAGAGAAGAAGGGAGTGAGAGAGAGAAACATCAATGTGCAGTTGCTGGGGACCTGGCCTGCAACCCAGGCGTGTGCCCTGACTGGGAATCAAACCTGCGACACTTTGGTTCGCAGCCCGCGCTCAATCCACTGAGCTACACCAGCCAGGGTTAGGACCACAAATTCTAATAAATTAAATGTAACATGGTCCCTACAGGCAAAGACATACAGTTATGGTGTTTCCATAGCACTTCACACCCATCTCTGTGATAAAACAAACTATCAGATTGTGATTTTTGCTTAGTTTCTACCTCTTCAACTATTCTGTAAGCAGTGATGTACAGGGGCGGAATCTTAACCAACCGCATTACCTCATACCTTAGCAAAGTGGTAGGTGCCTAGTGTGTGGTCTTAGATTGTTTGCAGACGAAGTGATTCCCATGGAAAGTTTCCCCTGACTAACTTCAAACCCAGTTTAAAGATCAATGCCCAGAACTTGCTTTTGAGCCTGTATCTTGATTTCTAGCATAGAATTTTCAGTCCTGTTTTCTCAGGTTCAGTAAAAACATTTTGTGAACTAGTTATGTTTTCTTTCTTACTATTTTTACTTTCTGTGCTGGGTTGTGAAACCCTTCCTGTTACTGCTTAAAATAGAACTTGCCAAATGAGTGATTTGGCTTCCTGCCACTCCTAACTCCCCCTGGGGAGGGGTAGGTTCATACAGAGTAAGTGGATCATAGCTCACAAATCATATAGGAGATTTTGTGAAAATGCAGATCTTTATTCAGTAGATAATGCCTGAGATTCTACCTTTCTAAAAACTGCCAGGGGATGCCAGTGCTACTGATTTGAGGGCCATCCTTTGAGTAGCACAGGAGTAGATGATTCACTTCACAAACTCATTCATTCTTTAAACACTATTTAATTTTACTATGTTCAAAGCACTGGGCTAAGAAACTAAAGAGGAATGTGACATAACCGTTGCCCACAAGAAGCCCACAGTCTAATCACATTCTAATGTGTCAGCAAATGCAACAAGAAATAAATACTATAACTAATATGGGCAGTAACACAATGAGAAGACAAGCCATAGACTGAGAGAAAATATACGCAAAAGACTTATTTGATAAAGGATTGGTATTCAAACTATACAAAGAACTCTTGAAACTCAACTATTCAAAAGCAAACAACCATATTAAAAATTAGGCCAAAGACCTTAACAGATACCTCGCCAAGTATATATACAGATGTCTAATAAATATGAAAAGATGTCAACATCATATATCACTAGGAAATTTCAAATTAAGGCAACGAGAAACCACTACACCTGTTAGAATGGACAAAACCTGAAACACTGACATCAAATGCTGGTGAGGATGTGGAGTAACGGGAAACCTTCGTGTATTGCTAATGGGAAAGTAGAAGGATACAGTCACTTTGGAAGGCAGTTTAGCAGTTTCTTACAAAGTTAAACATACTTTTATCAGACAATCCAACAATCAGCTTTCTTCATATTTGCTCAAATGAGTTGAAACCTATGTCTATAGAAAAACCTATGTCTATAGCAAAACTATGGAGACAGTAAAAGGATCAGTGGTTGCCAAGTGTTTGGAGGGAGGAAAGGATGAATAGGTGGAGCACAGAATATTTTCCCAACAGTGAAACTTTCTGTACGTTATTATAATAAAGGGTACATGTCACTATACACTTGTCAAAACCCATAGAATACTGCAAGAGGACATTTTAATGTAAACCATGGACTGGGGATCATAATGATGTGTCAACACAGTTCACTGATTGTGACAAAGGCACCACAGTGACCCAGAATGTTGATAATGGGGGAAGCTGTGCATGTGTGGGGTCAGGGGGTATATGGAAATTCCATGCATTTTCTGTTTAGCTTTGCTGAACCTAAAACTGCTTTTTAAAAAAGTATGTATATACAGATGGATTGATATGATCAGGCCAGAGGATCAATTCTGGGACCTAGAAAGTGTTCATTGTTGGACAAAACAGATTTTATACACACACACAATATATGCTTTAAAAAAAAGTGTTTGGGTGTAAGGACAAGCAGTTGTCTGGATGGCCAGTCCAACTCTGGAAGAAAATACACTGGTGACACCCCCCTCCTCTAGAGGTCAGGACCCTCCCCCACAATTAGTAAGTGCTAGTGGGAGACAATGAGCAGTAGTGAGCAACAGGAGCCCCCTTCTGAGGCTCTCCATACTCTTTCCTCCAAAAAGTCTTTTATTGGAGCCACTCTCTCAGTAGGGTTCTGCATCAGCAGCATCTTGCTCTTGTCTCATGTCCATACTAAATGAGCCTCTACACTGAGAAACCTATACTCAAATTATCTGGGGTAACTTTTAATGGTGAGGATTATAGAGCCATATGCTGAATCTCCTGACTCACAGTTTCAGAGTGCTGGAGTTGGTAACCTGCAATTTATCAAGTTTTTCAAGTTATTTTTATGTGCCATAAGGTTTGAAAATCATTCTTCTATTTCATTCCCTTGTACTTTTTTGGTGCAAAAGTCAACATCAAATTGATTCCAAATAAGTTTTAATAACTTTACCTTCTTACTGGAACCAACAAGCTGAAAATTCATGGAAAACTGTTAAATTATGAAATCTTTTTCTCATATTTTATTAATAAAATAAGCCATGTAAATAATACAGAAATAGATTTATTTGTGAAATACATATATAAGTGTGATAACTTTTCAGAGGAAATAAAAACATAAATGATTTGTGATTTTGGAAGCATCACACAAATAGAAGTATGAATCATTAACAGAGATAAAATCATTATCAACATTACAGCAATACATGCTAAGAATATTGTCAAGAGTAAACAAAATATATATATATTTTTTTTAATTTACTTTAAAGGAACTGTTCAACTTTGTATATTTATCTGATAAGGACAGCTACATATATCCTCCCATACTTCCTGTTTCTATTTTTAAGAATACCACGGGCAGTTCATTTATCTCTTGTATGTAAGTTTTCCGTAAATTCAGCGTAGCTGAAAATACCTACCTAAAACTGGTTACCTGAAACTCTAGGAGTAGGGATTTCATACTGGGTAGATAACAATGACTCTGAAACAATACCCACCACCCCTATCCAGGGGTCAAAATCTTATTGTCAATGTTACATAAGAAATGTTCAGCCACAAAATCTGTTTTGTCTTTTTGGGACAAAAACTTTTATGGGATATCATACTCCTACTCCCATAATTTCATACATTATTTTAATAAATTTTCTTTAATGACTCACTTGCTCTCGTATTTTGAACTTCTGCAGCAAACTGAAATGGTATGTTCATTTTGTCAGTTTCTTTTACCATTTCTGTAAGTCCCCACCCTTCCTCCCAGATGCTGACACACACACACATGCATTCACACACACACCCCTTCACATTCATTTGTACAGCAGCTCATGTACTTGTTAAAATGGATTCTAACCTCTGCTATCCACGTCATATAAGATCTATTGCATTACTTAGTAGCAGCACCTGACAACCCTAATAGCCTCAAACTGTTGAATAAAGTTGCAGGCTATTTTTGAAATAACTAGACTCAAGTACTCTGGAAAACTGAAACCATATTCTTGCTATACTTTTAAGTGGTTGCAACCTCAATATTTTAAAACAAATGGTTATCAAATTGTACTACTTCACTATGTATGATTTTCCCCGATTCCTTAGTAAAGAGCATAGCAAGATATAGATGCTGTGAATGAAAATACATTGACTGGCCAACTACATATTCTGGACTTTTCTCCATTCCATCAGTTGTGCTTTTAATTTGACATCAGGTCAACCAAGAAGCAGTTTGAGCCACCAACATGCACACACCTGATGATGACTATTCTCACTGACTTTTGCGTTTATTCAGACACCCACAAGTATATTACTTCAGCAGCATTATGTCAATCCATTTACATTAGTCTATGTAACCCAAACACTGAGTCACCACGTTGTTTATAAACACATCGTACATTAATTACTCCATTACCACAGATACTTGCTTCGTGATCTAACCGGTAGATATAAATATTTGTTTCTCAAGTATGGGGAACATCCACCCCCATCTAGTTGGTACATTCCACATCTTTATTGCACAATTTATTCTTTCCATTCTTTTCCTTTGTTCTCAAGTCTAAAATTATTCCTCTTTACATTTAAGAAACCCCAACATTAGATTGTTAGAGGGAATTTTTTATTACCAAAGACTAACTGGAAATAAACATATTATTATTACCATATTTATGGTTAGTTGGTTAAATTAGTCCATTCTTTTTCAAGAATATAGTGAATCATCCAGATAGCACACATCTCTCTTTCTACATGCCTTTCTGATAGTTCCAAAGAATGTATTGATTTCATATGTTGGGTAAAATGGAGCTAAGTTTAAATGTTCTACCACATTGCTATTCATGATACCATTCAGCTTTGGAGAGGAGATTTTGTTGTTCATGGCAATAACATAAAATGCTCCAAAAGAATCTTCTGGGAGAAATTTTAGTCATTTGTCCTAAGGATCCTTAAGACCCAAGCACCAACATGAATGTCCTTGAAGTAAAACTTCTCAGGTCCAGGAATATGATCTGACATTCTGTGGGTCTCAGAGCATGGTACCGACACATCAATTGTCCAGAGATCGCTGGTGGGAGGTCAGGACTAGGTTTAACTCCTCACACATATGGCTGCATATTCTGTAGGTGCTTCTTTCATATTTTTTGCCTGCCTTGGGTTCATTTTAATGATGGAGTGGTTCAGTGAAGCATACACGATGCTCTGTTTGTTTTCCTCCTGACATATGTTAGAATAAACCTTGGGCTCCTCCTGGACCCCAAACCAGGGATCATTATCATAAACTTGAGTCTCTAATGTCAGGTTTTGGGAATTTTGCCTGGTGCACACTTCAGTTTGCTCACTCCTAGAGGGCTGAGGAACATCAGCCTATAAGAGAAAAAAATTGCTTTAGTTATCATTTAAAGATGTGATGGTGCATACTTATTAGCAAACTATGAGTACAGGCTAAATTGAGTCCTATACATGGAGAGAATTGATCGACTTTTCCTCACATATGCTGTTGATATCTATTTTTTTCATAGCAGATTTTCACTTATTAAAGGATAAAGGATAAGGACCACTATGTTCCTCCAAAAATAGTTATTTGGTGCTTTATTATTAATCACTTTTGAGGTCATAGAACACTTTTAAATCCCTTTTCAAGATGAAAAGCACAGCCCAAATTTATGAGGAATGCACAAATATTCCACAAGAACTCCAGGCAGCCTGCAACATAGTGAATAGTGTTAACATAGTTTAGAGTGAAACCATTAAAGATAAAGCAGAACAGATACCCTCTAAGGGGACAGAAAGAATAAATATTATTAGTTATTAAAGATATATTATTTTGATTTGAGACCTGGAATTAGAAAATTGCTGTTGTGTTTGGGGGGGGAGCAAAACTTAGAAAAAGTTTAAAAATATTTCAACAGTTATTTCCATCAGAAAAAAATTGTTACACTTCCAAATAGAGTCAAATATTGTCAAGCATTGTCAAGCTTCTGTAAAGGAGATGAGATAATGGAAACTGAAAGTAAAACGGTCCTGAAGTTTTTCGCTCTTTTCAGTTATTTGTCATTCCTAGTTATTCAGGGAACTCAACTGGTAAAAACGAAGATGTGGTGTTACTTCAAGTTTTTAAATTGCAATTTTGCCAAATTACGCTCTTGAAGTTTGGCCTAACTACTTTTAGGTACCAGGTGCACAGCCTTGGGTAGCCCACCTGCCTCATCAGGCTCCTGGCTGTTCTCACTATGGTGTGAGCAGCGGGGCGTCCACACCTCCTGAGCAGGTTCTACCACACAGGCATACCTGGGCCTATCCCGAGAAGCTAGGTATTAACTGCAGAGTGCACTTCTTCCTTCTGAGGAGGTGTCTTCCCTGGAAATAACGCCAAGGCTAGATGACTGAGGGAGCTGGAGATTGCTTTAAACGTCCCCCTCTTGGCTCAGATGGAAAGTGTTCCAGCTGTCACTCAGATGAGCCTGAATAAAGCCTCAGGAGGAGCAATAAAGAAGACTATCGTGTGACCTAATAAATAGTCATAAATCCCTGACATGTTGACGAAGTCTCTGTTGTATTTTTTAATCTGTGTCTGTCAACCCACTTAGCCTGGCTTCTTCCCAAAAGATGGCTCACTTCCACGGAAAACTGTTACAATGAATGGGGTGAAACTAACATGGTGCTCTGTGGCTGCACTTGTCCTGTGGGCCCCTCATCAAAGTGGGTAGGTGGGCGACGCGGGTGCGCCGCCTGTGGCAGGTGAAGGTGGCAAACACCGAAGCAGCTCTCCTCCTCTGCCCTTGGCTGGCACCTTTCAGTTTACAGAGCACTTTTAAAAGCGTGTTGAGATGTCATTCGTGTACAGTGTACAGTTCAGTGGTTTTTAGTATACAAGCACGTTTAAACCTTCAAAGGACATTGTGGAATAAAATGAGGACTTTGGCTTTTACATGTAGCTGCCATGTTTTTACCAGTTCTCTTTTCTACTTTGGGTTTCCAGTTCTTGGTTCCCATACAAGTTCCTTCAGACTAAATTTTCACTCACTCTCAAAGATCTATATTTTTTGAACTGTTTGACAACTCAAATGGGACAAAACTGTGAATTCCTGGGACAGACATGAACACCTTAAAGCAAAATTCCCAATAATTACACACACAGAAAAAACCCTTTTAAATTCAAGTTCACAGCATAAATAATTTGTCCAGCTTATGCAGAAAGAAATATGACTACATTTTGACCAACCTGGGCTTTACCTCTAGGATAAATTATTTAGATGATTTTTTTAAAAGTTTCATAGTTCTCAAGACTGACTATAACAGAATGTGGTTTGTTGCTGCTGTTGTCCACTATCGGAAGAAAGGAGATAATATTTCAGAAAATTTCCCTACTTGAGGAAACAAAACCTTAGCACCCACGACAATGATGTCCACTGATGCTTACTAAAAACTTTATACGAGTTTTTAAAGTTAACTGTATTTGGTTTGATTTAAAATTAGGTAACTCATGGGGGATGCTGAGTGCTATTTAATACTGTATGTAGAATTTTTGGCTACATCTGCCTCTGGCATTTCTGGAACTTCCAAGAAGGCCGCTGCATTGTTCTCTCTACTCTGGCTTACTGAAATGCACACACACACACACATCAAGCTCTTCTGCAGTACTTCACTCATGACTGTGGTATTTGTTTGTAACTAAGGAACTCCATAAGTTTTTTCAGGAATATATTACCTCATCTTGCATTCTTTTTTGAGTTTCAATATTTACACAATGCTGAACCCAAAAGAAAGGCCTAAGCTTATATTCCAAGAACTTGTAGAAAAATTTGGCACTGCCTCCAACACATCCTTTCCTTTGTCTGGAAGGTTTCTTCTTTGATGAGCCCACACACATTATGAGAGACTTTTGTGTGGTAGCTCGGTCTGTGGTCACACTTCTTTATCTGCTGGTGTGATTTACGAAGAAATCATAACTCATTTAATGTGGCCGTTAATGGTTTATTCTTTCATTAACTTATGAGTTAACTTTGTGGGAATAAGTGAATAGCCTGAGGTCATGTAACAGGCCAAGAGCAGGGCCAGCGTTTACAGCTCAGTCTCAGACTTTTCTGCTCTGAGTCAACACTGCCACCCATGCTCTCCCAAAAACCTGCTCATTTTGAGACTCGTTAATCCTGAAGAATCTCTGCTGCAAATGATGGTGAATGTAAAACAAACACATTTTTACAGTTTGGGTTTCTCTGCCCATTATATGATGGTCCTCATTTACTATGAACATGTTCACTTTAGGTGGTTACCTTTTACAGATTGGGTTAAAAACAAACACATTTTTAAAGTAAGTCAACATATATAGCACTCAGAACAGTGACTGGCACATGGTAAGTATTACAGAGCCTCAAATGTAAAAATATACATATATAGTAACATGATATAACATAGATTGCATTTGTTTTAACAGATACAGTGAACATACCACATTCATTCCCCTTTCTGCTGTTTCAGAAGCCTTCTTTTGTTCCCCTGGAATTCAAAACAAAAAATAAGAAACCAAAAGGAATAAAGGACAACACAATTCTTCCCCAAGTCCCTGTAAATTAGGGTTGTGGTAAGAATATGGGTTGGAACCACGTTGCTAAATTGAAACTCAGTCCCTAGAGCAAAGGTGGAATGCCTCCCCACCACCACACCAATGCCCACACACTCGCATACCAAGGAGAATGTTATTATTAGTTTGGCTTGTTCAGTTGTTGTGACTAGCATGGTACATACAACTCAGATTTTGTGCATTCGCGCTGCCCCATTTTCTTCACTGGTTCTTCACTTCTTACCCCAGTGATCCCTCCAGCATATTTGGGCCGGTGGGGGGTGGGGGGGTCTCATACATCACTTTTAAAAGGCTGGAAATCTTTGTTTTGGGACATTCTGTACTCAGTGCCAGATGCACTGCTCTCCTGTCATCGGCATGGCCAGGACCTCCTACTGCCTAGTTCCTTTTGGATGTGGTCAGTAAAAGGATTTATCCTTGACTTTCTCCCTGGAGTTCTGAGAGAAGTTCCAGCAGCCCCAGAGTAGGTGATAAAACTTCAAGAAGGACCCCAGAAAGATCCTTGGAGTTGCAGATGCAGAGGTGGGGTTACAGAAGATTCCCTCAGGTTCTGAGGAGCTTCTGGGCCGCAGAAGTCCTCACCACAAAGCACCGGAGGCACTTATGACCAGACAAAGATTTCTCATAGCAGAAATAAGGGTTTCTTTGCCTAGCTTAGTTTCTATAGCTACACTGTGGTTGTTGTGGGAGAACGGATGGGAGGAGATGGCAGAGAGGAAAAAAGAAGGAGAGTGGGAACGGAAGTGGCTCAGACCAGGGCTAGATCAGAATTCCCCATACATGCATCTCTTAAGTGTTTGTGTGTTCCCTCATGCCAGTAAGGGAATTCTTTACAAAGCACAACGGAACTGTTTTTTAAAATATCATCTCCTTTTTCATGCAAAACCCACAGTTTTTATTGTTATTGTTGGGTGAGGGTGCGGTTCAAGCATGTGTTTGTAATGGCAACAAAAAGTGCAAACGTGTGAATTTCCACTGAGGACAGTGGGTCTTCATTCGGACAAGCACACTTGTGACTGGAATGCTGTGGTGTGGCCATGAAAAGAGAGCGAGACAGACCAACTCAAATCAGACCCATTGAGAGATTATTTCAACCTCCCTTTCAACCTCCTGAAAATTTAGAAGAGCTTCTCACACAAGCCGAAGACTAATGCAAGTAGAATGAGTAAATTCCAGCAATGTTCCCTCCTTACCACCACCCTTGGCTAGAGCACTGTGCTGTGGAGAGTATGCTTCACCGAGACTAGAGAGAACCTGAACTAATCCCTTTTGGTTTTTTGGTGGAAGTTGTCCCCCAGGAAATCATTATCCATGGTTTATTACAAAATATTAGAAAAGAAAACAACAAAATGACCAAGCAAGCAAAACATAACCAGAGGCATTGAAATTAAGAACAAATGGACAGTAACCAGAGGGGAGGTGGGAGGGGATAACAGGGGTAAAGGGGGAAGGATTTTCAGAAACATCTATAAAGGACACATGGACAAAACCAAAAAGGGGTAGGATCAAGGGTGGGAAGTGGGAATGGCTGGGGTGGTGGGGAGTAGTGGGGGTAAAATGGAGAAAACTGTACTTGAACAACAATAAAAGAAGAGAGAGAAAACAGAAACCAACAGTAACCAACTAAAAACATATGAATCTTGGTAACAGCGCACATTCGTGGGAAGATGGAACCCACCTCGGTGCCTTCTCAGGCAGCAGAACAGGCAGAAACCGGTAATGAGCAGAGGCAATCCTCCCAAAGGAGCCAAACTATAAAGGATCAATTGTCTGTCCTCTGTCTTGTTTTTGGAGGGTGGTCCTAAAGCACTGGTTGTATCTGAAATATTAGTCAATGCTAAAGACAGTCAGGAAATCTGAAATATGTTAACATTGGCAACACCCTCTGCACTGACAGAACTTGAATGAAAAAGATGCCTCCCTTTGCCTTCTAGTAAGCCTTCCCCAAGAACCCCAAGCCTCAGCACTCTCACCCACTTCTTGCTTTATTGCAACAATTGTTTTTTCTGCTAGGGTTAATCACCTGTAAAACAATATCTATAAAGTTCTCAGAAAACACTTCACCACGGCCTGTCATTTACAGTGTCTTATTTAATTTTCATTTGTCACTCCAGAGAAGCAAGGAAGCCATTATTTTTATCAAGTCCCATGACTTGAGAAGAGCATTATTGCTTTAAGACTTGCTGAAGGTCAGCCAGCTACTGAGTGCCAGTTGGGACTCAAACCAACATGTTTCTAAACTAAATTCAAGTTCCTTTAACGTAGTGTCTTGTCATTGTCTCATAACTGTTAGGTATCTCCAAATACCAAACACCTTTGGTGTCTTCATTATCTTGGATATTTTTGAACATGGTTTGCTGGGCACACAGTTGGTGCTCGTTACTTTTGATCAATGTTAACATGCATTAAGGCCCTGTTTGTCCATGATAGACTGCAACTTATTTGTGGGTCATGAAATAACTTAAGAGATTACAATAGATTACAAATTACATTAAAAAATAAAACACCGCTAGCTGGTGTGGCTCAGTGGTTGGGTACCCTGAATCAAAGGGTCGCTGGTCTGATTCCCAGTCTAGGGCACATGCCTGAGTTGCAAGCTAGGTCGCCAGTGGGGGACACGCAAGAGGCAACCATATATGAATGTTTCTCTCCCTCTCTTTCTTTCTCCCTTCTCCTCTCTAAAAAGTAAACAAAATCTTTTAAAAATATAAAATATTAAAAAAACACAATGAATAGAAAATATCAGAATGCATCACACATCTTTAATTTTTTACTTGTGTTATTTTTTTATGCAAGAAAGCTTTCTTTCTAAATCTATTAATGTAATTATACATTAACTTCCCCACATGCTTGGTTTTGGGGTATAGGTTGTTGGGAGCTACTGGAACTGGGTACATGTGATTTGGAAATTCAGAGTAATAACAAATGTTACATTATTCATGCAGCAGCTGCTGTTTAGGTTGGGCAAGCAGCTAAGTCACTGCCAAGTGTGACAGACACAGTTGTCTGGGGGAGGAGTGTGGGTAGGAATAAAACTAAGGTTCTCACAAACATATCCATTCAATTAAGAAGATCCAAATTTTATTACTTCTCCAACCATTAAACAATCTAGTGTCCTTAATTTTATTTAACTAGATTGATACTTACTGATTAGAAGATATTCTGAATTATTTTGAGTTTGTTCTGAAAGAAAAAACAAGACAAAACAAGGTAAGTATTGAATTTGGTTGTGAAAACAATGCAGGTGTATGTCAGGGATGCCCAAAGTCAGAGCTAATATGTGAGATGACACCTGTGTGTGCACACTGCAAATCCAGTAATCCAGCAAAAGGCAGTTTACATAACTTTTAGATCACTTTAAGATCGTGGACACAAATTAATTTCTGGGTTTATTTTGAGGCTCAAAGACAGACTGAATAAATACAACACAAGCTTCCTCTGTCTGCTTTGATTCTCTCTTCCCCTTTCCTTAAGCATAATGACACCATACAACCATGAAGGTTTAGGGCATCTTCTGGTACCAAAAATAATGATACACACATTCTGTAGGTATTCCAGGTGAGTGTGAAAGGCCACAAGGAAAGAATGCTTTTGATGACATGCTGGACACTCATCCTGAGACAAAGATTGTGTTTCACTTCCTGCTTACTCATATCACCCTCTCATTCCTGCTAAGACAATGACCACTTGTCTTTGCAAAATTCCTAATCATGAGCTGACCAAGGGCAGATTGGGGAGGGTGGAGTTGCAGGCTATTGTATGTTCCAGTGACTGTTCCCCAGCTTTGTCAGCTTTTCCTCTGAGACTTTGCTCTTCAAAGTGCATTTGTTCATTCTGGAAGAGCATTGCTTTTCCGAAAGTGTGCAAGCCCTTACTTTATCACATCCCTGTTCTTACATAAACCAGTTCTTAATTTAAGCTTTTGCCAATGAGAATCAATAAATCAACAAACAACAAGTGTTGGCAAGATTGCGGAGAAAAGGGAACCCTTGTGCACTGTTAGTTGAAAGTCAGACTGGGGCAGCCACTGTGGAAAGCAGTATGGGGTTACTTCAAAAAGTTAAAATGGATCTGCCTTATGAATTGGTGACTCCACTTCTGGAGCTATATCTGAAAACACCTGAAACACCAATTCAAAAGAATACATGCACCCCTATGTTCACTCCAGCATTATTTATGATAGCCAAGATTTGGAACCGAGTGTTCATCCATAGATGAGTGGATACAAAGCTGTGGCAAATTTACAAAAGAGAACACTACCTTACTGTAAAAAAAAGAAAGAAATATTACATTTTACAACTGTATGGACAAAACTGGAGAGTATTATGCTAAGTGAGATAAGCCAGTCAGAGAAAGACAAACACCATGTGACTTCACTTATATGTGGAATCTAATGAACAAAATAAAGAAAATATGAACAGACTCATAGATACAAAGAACAGTCTGACAGCTGTCAGAGGAGGGGAGCTTACTGGATGGACAAGATGAAGGGATTAGGCAAAAACAGCAACACTGGTAGACACAGACAACAGTATGGAGATTACCAGAGGGAAAAGGGTGTGGGGGAGGTACGGGAGGGTAAAGGGGGATAAATGGCAATGGAAGGAGGCTTGGCTTGGGGTGGTGAACTCACAATACCATATACAGAAGATGGATTATAGAATTGTACACTGAAACCTATATAACTTTATTAGCCAGTGTCACTCCAATAAATGTAAGTTAAAAAAAAAAAAAACAAATGTAAGTCAAATAGAAAAACAGGAAAATTACCAAATACTCCCTGAGAAAGATATTTCAAGGGGAGATAATGAAATATTTTTATCATACCTCTGAAATGTATTTACAAACAGCATGATTCTTAAACATAATTTCAGAATACATTTTTCTCTTCACCTTATACTTAGTTCACTGAATTCTTCCAGGTAGAGAAGAAAAGGAATTTTTCTTGTACCCTTTCTCTGTTGTTTGTTTTTATCACTTCATGGAAGGAAAAGTCTACCCAGCTAAAGCCAATTATTAAATAATTTATTTGACTTTTCAAAGAAGCAGAGGTGACCCAGAGAACTATGACACAATTCCTGCTTCTCAGGACAGTATAGTCCTCGAGGGGATGAAAGACATATCCCCCCTTTATTTCAGTACAAGGAAATGTGTGATAATTGAGAAGCACAGGCCTTTTTTCTTAAGTTCTATGTTTTAGAATTTTCTTAATATTTTAAGTTTATTTTTAGAGAGAGGAGGGAGGGAGAAAGAGAGGGAGTGAAACATCAATATGTCTTTGCCTCTTGCAAGCTCCCTACTGGAGACCTGGTCTGCAACCCAGGCATGTGCCCTGACTGGGAATTGAACCAGCAACAGGCTAGTTCAAAGGCTGGCACTCAATCCAATGAGCCACACCAGCCAGGGCACAGATGTTTAATAGCATAAAAATGGCTAGAAAAGAGAAATCACTTCTCCAAGGGTGAGCATGAAAGTCTTCCTCAAGAGCTTGGGAAATGAGCTGGGCTTGACAGGAAAGGCAGCACAGGACAGATGGACGGGTGTTCCACGTGTGGTGACACCAGCACAGGAAGGATCACGATGAAGACGTGGCAACGGAGTTGAGAGCTTTTATGTGGAGCTTAGAAACAATCCAGAAAGGGAGGTGGGGATGGACTGTGGAAGGCCTTGAATGCTGGTTAACAAATGAGCCCAGTATTGTGAGTGCTAGGGATGCTCTGCAGGGGACTCAGTGAAAGAATGTCATTATGAAAGAAGTTTACTAGAAAAACTAAGTGTATCAGGAAGATTTTTGGCTTAACCGGACAAAAATGGGGAAATGCTAAAGACAAGGAGCCCATACAATGAACTGAAATCATTGAGAAGGAAGATAATGAAGGTCTGAGATGATCAAAGAAGCTGTAGGAGGGATGCACAGCAGGGCGGGAGATTGTTGACAGACAAAAGTAGAAAGCCAAAGACACGTCCTGGGGAATCCCAGTGGGAGTCAGGAGCATTAACTGACAGAATGATAAGAAAGGAAGGAGAAAAGGAAATTAGGAAAGTAGAAATCTAAGAGAAAATTAAAAAGGACCTCAATGTTTTTAACTTAGCTCTTAGACTTTCCTTCAGACCTCTTCATCTTTTATACTCTTTGTCCCAGTGTAAGCCTAATAAGCACATCCTCTCAGGGCACAGGGTTTTAGAGGGACTGGCACCCCCCATCTCCACAAGGGAGACATATTATTAACCCTAATTTTAGCCTCAACTTGACTCAGTAGAACAGACACTTTCCCAACTGTACAAACATCTGGAGTGGTCAAAGGATCACTCAAATGTGGGATAGACACTTGGCTAAATTCCTCTCTTCTATAGAACTGACTTGGTCCCCACAGTGTAAGGCTAAATGACACAAGAAGGCTTTCTTCCAAGGAAGGTGGACTCAGTGTCACTACATTTAATTTTGTAATACATTATATTAATATACGTTATATAAATTACCTGGTAGTAGTTAATTATTCTATATTTAATAGTATAATTCATATTGGCCTGGAAGTAACATTTTTGCAAATTTTGCTTATTTTTAACATTTATTTTGCTGGTTAAAAATGCATTACTGCTTTAAAATTTCAGTATTTTATATCTCATTAAGTGAATTAATAGCACAATTTTTCCTGGAAGGATTCTTTCCAAACATCCTCAAAATAGGCTTCTCCAAGTACTTAAAGGCTATTTTTTCTCTTAGCATATATTAAGCTATTTAATTCATTTACAAATAAATCTTTATTGAGCACCCATTATGTATCAGACACTATGCTCTCTTTTTGTGGAGAAGCAAAGATATTTGAGATACAGGATTCGTTCAAAGAGGTTTGTAAACCAGTGCATGGATGGTCACAGGTAACTAGCACTTGCCCTTCACCCAAAATCTAATTCTGCCATAAATATATTCTACAATTCTGTGCTTCATAGCAGAGAGTTGCAGCTTGCATGCGAATACTGTGCATTCCCTCACTGGCCTTTAAAAAATTTAAAAGTGATTTGAAATTTTTAATGTCATTTACGTGGATTCCTTCATTGGGCTGCTTTAAGGGAGTTTAAAGACTATCTCCAAAGTGTTCATCTAAAGTAAGAAATTAATTAAAAACACACACACAAAATGTAAACAGTTAAGTGAATAGCATCCATACAAGTAACTGTATGAGACTATATGTAGATTTCAGACACGCTACCACTGTACCATACCTTTATAAAATTTCTCTTTTGCAATAACCTTCAGCATCATTTTCTGCTCACAAAAGAAACTCCATCTCATTTCTTATAATGAAAGGGTGATCTTCTTTGATCCTAATATACTTTATGCAGTAATATAAAAATTACCATTTTAATCATTTAAAGTGTACAATTCAGTGGCATTTGAAATAGTCAGGGTTGTGCAATCACCACCACTATCAAGCCTTTAGAACATTTTCATCAACCCAAAGAGAAGCCCCAACCCCATTAAATTATCACTGCCCATTCTCCCTTTCTCGCAGTCCCTGGAAACTTCATCATGATTTACCCATTCTGGATAGTTTATGTGAACAGAATCATACAGTATGTAATCTTTTGTGTCTGATTTCTTTTACTTAGTGTAATGTTTTTGAGGCTCATCTATGTTGTAGAATGTGTTAGTACCTCATTCTTTTATGGTTGAATAATATTTCATTTTATGATTTACCACATTTCCTTTATCTGTTTATCAGTTGACAGACATGTAGGTTGTTTCCATTTTTTGGTTGTTGCAAATAGTGCTGCTATAAACATTCATGTATAAGTTTTCTGTGGACACACATTTCCCTTTCTCTTGCATATTTACCTAAGAATGGAATTGTTAGGTCTGTGGCAACCATGTGTCCTCTTTTAAAGAGCTGCTGAACTACTGTTAAAGCAGCTGCACCATTTTTCATTCCCACTGCCAATGTATAGGGTTTTGATTTGTCCACATCCTTGCCAGCCCCTGCTTTTCTTTCTTTTTTTAAATTCTAGTCACCCTGGTAGCTATAGAGTGATATCATTATATTTTTTATTTGCAATTCCCTGATGACTATTGATGTTGAGCATTTTTTCATGTGCTTATTAGCCATTTACAAATCTTCTGTGAATAAAATTTATTCAAATTCTTTGCCCATCTTTTTTCATTGACTGCTTTTTTATTTGTGAAGTTTTAAGAATTCTGTATATATTCTGGGCACAAGTCCCTTATTGGGTGTATGATTTGCATGCAAATATTTAATCATATTCTGTATGTTGTCTTTTCTCTCTTGATAGTGTCATTTGAAGCAGAAAAGTTTTTAATTTTGATGAAGTACAAGTTATCTATTTTTCCTTTTGTTGCTTATGTTTTTGATATCTTATCCAAGAAACTATTGACAAATTCAAGATTATGAAAATTAGTTTCTATGTGGTTTTCTAAAAAAAACAGAGTTTCATAGTTTTATGTAAATATAGGTTTTATAGTTTTAGATCTTATATTTAAATATCAGATCAATTCTTACTTAATTCTTACTTTTTTTTTCATATTGTGTGAGGTAGAGGTCCAAATTATCTTTTGCATCTGAATATTTTAAAAAGTATTCTTTTCCCATTGAATGACCTTGGCACTCTTGTCAAAAATCAAGTGACCAAGAACATATGGATTATTCTGGATTCTCAATTCTATCCCATGATCTACATATTTATCCTTATGCTAAAACCAGAATTTTAATTACTGTCATTTTGTAATAAGTTTTGAAATAAGGAAGTATTGAGTGCTCCAACATGGTTCCTCTTTCTCAATTTTTTTTGGCCATTCTGGGCTCATTGTAATTCTCTACAACTTTCAAAATTAGCTTTTCCATTTCTGCAAATAAAGATTGTTAGGATTTTGATGGGGATCACGTTGAATCTATAGATCACTTTGGGAACTATTGCCATTTTAACAGTATTGAACATTCCAGCCCATGAGCATAGGGCATCTTTCTATTTATTTACATCTTTAATTTCTTTCTGTTACATTTTATTGTGTATAAGCCTTGCACCTTCTAGGTTAAATTCATTCCTAAATCCTCTATCATTTTGATGTTATTCTAAATGGAGTTTTACTACAAACATAACATCAAGGAATTATTATTAGTAAAAGTCAAGGACACAAAAATGGAAGAAAAAATAAAAGAAAAATAAAACAAGGACAGAGGAGAAAAAGTTGTCTACTGCTATTGGTATTCAGTTTGAAATTTTTCAGTGATCTATTTTTGGACTTATCAAATAAATTGTATTGTCTCAAAGCAAAACAATATTTTTTAAATCTGTGTATTGATTTTAGAGAGAGAGAAAGGGGGAGAGAGAAAGACAGAGAGAGAGAAAAAAAATCTATGTGAGAGAGAAGCATCTTAGTTGTCTCCCATATGCATCCCCCAAATAGAGTTGAATCCTTAAACTTTTGGTTTGTGGGATGAGGCTACAACCAACTGAGCTACATTGTCCAGGGCAAAAACAATACATTTTATTATGTTTTCTACTCTTCTCTAATTCACTCACCCCAAAACACACATACATGTAAACATACACATACATATGTGCACTTTACAGTCTGTGAGGGGTGGCAGTGTTCTAATGGCTTGTATTCTTTGAGAACCTGGGTTCTCCTTTTCCTTGAAACACAATGAGAAAAACATTAGGTAGTCAGTGTATAAGAACTCACCTGTCACATAAAGAGTTATTGAGTAGCTTTCAAGGAGTCCAGACGAAACATTTGCAGAACAGCGGTATGATCCATTGTCACTAGCCTGTGCTTGATCAAAATACAGAAGATAAACCCTAGTATTTTCCCTTTCATCCCACTTCATTTTTATATGAGGTGTTTGCCCAAGAGGTGGACAGTTTTCTCCTTCAATCTTGCACCAGGTTGCATTTTGTATGTTAGCACAAATATCCACAGGACATTCCAGGTGAAATGATTTCCCTGTAAGGGCTTTATGCACGGAATCTCTCTCAATATAAATTTGTGGATCACATGATTTTTCTCCTGAAAGATGAAAACAAAATTAAAATAAAATCTGTTCTGGAAGGACCAGATATTTACCATTTAAACGGTTTTTGCCAAAGATTTCTCCAACATGATTCTATAATTTTTTGAGATAATATTTTCTAGTACTTAAGCCTCACTATCAGAGTATATGACACATGGTAAGCACATAATAACAATTTGTTGAAAAAAACAAATAAATCATTTCCTTTGTTCAATAATATCATAAATTTCCAAACTATTATAGAATTCCAAAATAAATTTTTGTTATGTAATTATATTTTAGTTTATTTTTACTTATTTTATGATTTTATAGCTACTTTAACAGGTAAATAATAACAGCATCTTTTGTCAGTTACTTATTAAATTCCAAGGGCTGTTTGAAATGCACAAGTACTTTCATTCATTTAATCCTCATAACAGAAATAATATATGAGCATGATTTTCAACTGGTGTGCCATAAGAGGCATACTGGTGTTCAGCAATAATTTTAAACACATAATACCTGACTGTTTAATCAGGGGCACTGACTTCTTCTACCTTAGGTTGTCAAATTTAAAAAATGAAAACATCCAATATTCAATAGCTATTGATGTGAATGAATCAAAATTATACCTACTTTTTGTCAGATCAGCAAAAAAATATATATTGTGGTGTGCTGTGGAATTTCAGTAATTAGTTTATGTGTGCCATGAGGTGAAACAGGTTGAAATTGCTGATATATGTTTTTTATTTATTTTATTCATTACGCTATTATAGTTGTCCTGATTTTCCCCCTTAGTGCCCTTCCACCTTGCATCCCCCACTCCCTCAGACAATCCGCACACCTTTATTCAGGTCCATGGGTGATACATTAATTAGTTTTTTGGCTACTCTATTTCCTACACTGTACTTAAAATCCCCATGGCTGTTCTGTAACTACCAACTTATAATTCTTAATCCCCTCACCTCTTCACCCATTCCTTCCGATTCCTCTCCCAATGGGCAACCATCAAAATACTCTCCATATCCACGATTCTGTCTCTTTTCTTATGGCTTGCTCAGTTTGTTTTTAGATTCAATTGTTGATAGATATGTATTTATTGCCAATTTATTGTTCATAGTTTTCATCTTGTTTTTTTTTTAAATAAGTCCCTTTAACATTTCCTGTAATAATGGTTTGGCGATGATGAACTCCTTTAGGGTTTTCTTGTCTTGGAGGCTCTTTATCTGCCCTTTGATTCTAAATGATAGCTTTGCTGGGTAGAGCAATCTTGGCTGTAGGTCCCTGCTTTTCATGACTTTGAATATTTCTTGCCAAACCCTTCTCACCTGCAGTTTCTTTTCAGAAGTCAGCTGAAAGAAGTCAGTCTTATGGGAACTCCCCTGGAAGTAACTAACTGCTTTTGTCTTGCTGCTTTTAAGACTCTCTCTTTATCTTTATCCTTTGGCATTTTAATTATAATATGTGTGGGAGAGGGCCTCTTTGCATCCATCTAGTTTGGGACTCTCTGTGCTACTTGGACTTGTACATCTATTTCCTTCACTAAATTAAGAAAGTTTTATTTTATTATTTTTTTCAAATAAGTTTCCAAATTCTTCTCTTTCTTTTCTCCTTCTAGAACCCCTATGATGCCGATGATGGGATGCTTGAAGTTGTCCCAGAGGCTGCTTACCCTATCCTAATTTTTTTGGATTCTTTTTCCTTCTTGTTGTTCTGCATAGTTGTTTTTTGTTTTTGTTTTTTGTTTTTGCTTCCTCATGTCCCAAATCACTGATTTGAATCTCAGCTTCATCCACTCTACTGTTATTTCCCTGAAAATTGTTCTTTATTGCAATTAGTGTATCCTTCATTTCTAACTGTATCTCTTTTATGCTGCTGAGACCCTAAGTTCCTTAACCATCCTTATAGGCAGTGTTTTGAACTCTGTATCTGATAGATTTCTTATCTCCATTTTGTTTTGTTCTTTTTCTGGAGTTTTGTTGTGTTCTTTCATTTGGGTCATGATTCTTTGTCTCTTCATTTTGTCAGCCTCTTTGTGTTTGTTTCTAAGTCTTATATACAGCTGCTTTGACTCCATATCTTGGTAGTGTGGCCTAGTGTGGTCAGTGTCCTGTAGGGTCCAGTGGCACAGCTTCCCCTTTCATCCAAGCTGGGTAGTTGTGGTGCACCCTCATGTGGGATGAGTATACCATCCTCTTGTAGTTGAGCCTTGATTGCTCTTGGCAGATCAATGGGAAAGATTTACACAGGCCAGTCAGCTTCAAGGACTGGCTGTGAACACTGACCACCAACCTCTGCCATTCACGGAGGATCAGCTGTTCAGGGACAGGGTGGTAGTATTATGATGTGGTCTGTAGCTGCCCACCACCAGATGTGCATGCTCTGGGGTTTACCTAGTGGTGCAGGCCAAGGCCAGCCCCAACCTGTGTTCTGCCTGGAGCCACCCTGCATGAGCTATAAAGTAATCTGAGATGGCTGCTACTTGTGCTGGGCTTGGAGGTTCCCAGGCAAAGCCAATGTGATCCAAAGCTGGCTGCTGCTAGTGCCAGGTATGGGGCCACTTAGCAAGAGCTACAAGTCTGAGGGTTCACTGAGGCCAGCTGTTGCTTGTTTGAGAGGATTTAGGAAGTTTTGAAGCATGGGCCCAGACCAGCCACTCATATGGAAAAGTCATGGTTAAAAGTGTGGGCCTATAAGTTGGGTGGGACTGACTCTCAGGGAATCTCCAGGACAGGTTAAACAATGTTAGCCAGGTTGATGGAGTCTCAGGTATGGCATCTGCCTGTGGGCTCTGTGGTTCTCTGCAGGGGTGGGGTGGGGCTAGAAGAGGGACAATGGCTTCTGTCCACCTTTCTGCCTGGAAGAAAGCTGTCCTGAGCTCTTGACCTGATACCAGACACTTCAGTTCCTCCCTATATACCACTGGTGCCTCGTAAGCTGCTACCCCAGTGCTGGAGGTCAGAGGTAGTGAGTCTGAATAAGTCTGTGTAAGAGTTATTTAAGAGGAACTCAAGAACTTTCTCCCACTGACTCAATCCTCGTTGGTATTTTGCAGCCAGATATTATGGGGATTTATCTTCCTGGCACTGGAACCCTGGGCTGGGGGGTCTGGGTGGGTCTGAGACTCATTGCTCCCAAGATATCCCTCCCAAATTTTTATCCAACACACATGGATATGGAGCCAGCCTGTTCCATGTCTCTGCCCTCTTACCAGTCTAGATGGATGTGGTTTCTTTAATTCTGTAGTTGTTGGACTTCCATTCAACTCGATTTCTGATGGCTCTGAGTAATGATTGTTCTTTATTATAGTTGTAATTTTGTATAGTTGTGTGAGGAGGTGCACCATGTTTACCCACACCTCCATCTTGACTGGAAGTCCCCAGTAATATATGTTATTATGGCCCTGCACTCTCCATACTGCTTCACCTAGCATAATGTTCCACCTCCTTTCTATCTCCTTGCTGGCATGAATATGCTCATTTTTAGCTATTTTCTAACACCCAATAAACCTCTCATAATTTCTGCTCACATATCAATAATCCTTGCTTATAATAAGTATCATCTGATTGAGTTTTCAGGAATAAGACTGAGACAAGAGACCTACAAAGAACTTTCAGGACCTCTGAATATTTATATATTTATCACTACTCTGAGATCTTAAATAAGTTCACTTAAAAGCTTCCTAATTCAGTTGCTTCCAAAAATTCAGAATAAAAATGAAAGCAAATTGAAAGTCAAGTCATGAGAATGAGGTTTTCAAAAAATTGAAGAGAAAGGGTAAGATAATTTACCAAAAGGAAGTGCCAAACAATATAACACCTGGATGTGGTTAGACTTATGACAAAAAAGCAAGGAAGCAGAGGCAGAAAGACCAAGTGAAACCTTGTTTCCAGAAGTCCAATGCTCTCCCTATGGTTAAAAGGCTATCTCAGCCTCCTAACTTCCCATTTTATTTACTTGGATAAGTTAATGATAGCTTATGCACCCTATAGCCCTGTGAAAATGGCACTATAGTTACAAAGACCTTCTTCTCTCAAGGAACTTACCATTTAATTGGTGAGACAAAATTAACCATTTAATTGGTGAGACAAAATTAACAAGGTCTCTCTTCTGAAATAAATTTTGCCTACCACTCTTTTTACTTCATCCTTACCTAGGCTAAAAGCAAGGCTCAGAGGGATACTGCAGGAATAAACAAGATACGGTTCCTGTCAACATGGGACTTGCCTTCCAGTGGAAAAGAAAAGCACTAGACCAATGGGAGAACAAAACAACATGGTAAAGAGGTGCAAACTTTGCATGACTGTGCAGAAGATTCACTTCAGCTAGGACTATTGGGGCAAGGCTTAAAAGAAAGGCTGTACTTGAGCTAAACCTTAATGAATGAGTAGATCTTCGATAATTAGAGCAGTGACTGAACACAAGAGATATTTTAAAACTGAGAAAATGGAAGGGCAAAGACAGCAAGGCCAGGAATGTCATGGCAGTTTCATGAATTAAAACACACTTGGATTGTGGTTTACTGAAACAGTGACATGGACACCACTAGTTGTTTCAGAATAAATGGAATAAGCATTAGGTGGGGGAAGATTAAATTTTGTTTATCAACAACGAGAAAATACAGAGCATGATTCTTTTGGGATATTTATAAAGGTCATGGAGGTTGCTAAAATTTAGAATATTCATTTGAACGTGATTGGTCAAATGCTAACTCATTGTGTAATATTGAGATAGCCACCCAGACTCACTGGCACTCCATTTCTTTAAAATAAAATAAAAGGATTAGACAGCAAATAGAAGAAAACTATTATGCACCACCTTATCCTACACAGAAATACATATACAACTTCACCTCCTTCCGTGTGTGGCCCATACTACAAAATTACTTCTAAGTCTTACTTTCGGTTATAATATGTTAACTTCCCACTGGGTGACATCAAGCTGTCACCCAATGCTAGTAGCACAGTTGAACACCTCTTGTAGTTTCAGCATTCTTGGACTATATGCTAGGGAGGAG